TATGTAGTCATTTATACCTGTGAAAGTGGTTGTGTTTTTTACATATTGTACAAATAAATAATTAACTAAACTTCAAGGCAGCAAATAATCCTGCCTGTGAGGTAATCTTCAGTAAAAGGCAGTATAACTTCCATAGCATTGTCTACATTTCACGTACGTATTTCTACTAGCAAATATCAGTAAACTGCTGTCTTTAAAAATTATGCCTGCTTCTGTTGTTGATGTTGTTGTGTCACTTAATGGTGAGAGAGCCAAAAATACTCAGTAGGTATTGGCATCATGAGGGATTGGCATTTGCTAGGAAGTACTGAATTTCCAGTGGCAAGGGAAACCAAGGTGAAAGCATGGATCTAAACAAAAGAAGAATTACAACCGGATGAGGCTTGTACTAAAGTGAGCATTTAAGTATTTGACTGAACTTATTTTAAGACATGTGCATAAAAGTCTGATATGCTGTAGGACATTTACTGCAGTTAGCAATGGATAGATAGTTTAATAAAACATTAATGTTCTGCACTCCAGAGAAGATTTTCAAAGGCACAAATTACAGCAAGGCACCTAATTCCCATTAAAATTCACTGGCATTGGGACCTTAACTGCCTCTGATAATTTAGAAAAATCTCTGTGTTCCCTTCTTAGATATTTGAGCAGATGTTAAGGTATTAGGAATTTTCTGCGTAATCCACAACACACTACTTTATATGAACATTGGAGATGTTTATCAAATTTAATTACAGAGTGTTAATTTTTTTCCCTGCAGGTCTTGGGATATTAAATTTGTCCAAAATGTTGGAAACTGAGCTTTATTTGGGAATTGACAAGAAAGCGTTATGGTTGAGGTTTTAAATGCTAGCTAGGAAATCTAGACCTACAACTCCCATCAAAGATAATGACTATTGCTGTGCTAGGGGAATCCTCTGCTAACTTGATCTGGGACTTCTAGGGCATGTCTATACTTACCAGAAGATCAATGCTCCAGAGGTCAATTTTCTGGCTTTTGATATAGCAGGTCTTGTATAGACCCCTAAATCAAATGTTGATGGCAGCTCCCACCAGAATGTGGTACTCCTCCTTTTGCAAGGAGTAAGGGAAGCCAACAAAAGCATGTGCTCCTATCAGCCTCCAGCTATGTGAACACCACCAAGGATTGGCTTAAGGTGAGCCAACTCCAGTTACACATTTTGTGTAGCTGGAGTTGCGTACTTTATGCTGGCTTTCCTGGTCTAGTGTAGACCAGGCCTTAGGGTCCTTTTACAATGCTCTTGCTCAGTATATAGGGACTAGATCAGGAACTAACATATTTGTAAATATGTTAAAAGATTATGGTTTTTTACAAGTATGTTGCAATGGTGCAAAAGTATTTCAGCTAAGGGTTGCTCATTTACAGTCAGAGATCTAAGGACATCAGAAGCATCAGGTTGCATCCTTTTCTCTGGTAAGATATATTGATGGAACTTCTTGAGCCTTTCACTATAAGGTATCTTTTCCAATTCTTTTACACTTCTTGAAGTTTTTTTCTGAATCCTCTCCAATTTTCATATCTCCTTCTTAAAGTATGACTGGAACTAGATACATCATGTCCGAAGGCTTGTATCTGTGTCAGAACAGAGGTAAATAGATACCTGCTTATCTATTTGATGTTCCTCTGTTTATACATTCAAAGATCACATTGGTCTTTTGGGCCCATCATTGCACTGAGAGCTCATGTTCAGCTGATTATTTTCCCAGCCTCCAATTATATTCTGGATTTGGTGTTCTCTGAGATAATCTCCTTCCCCATAAATATAGCCTGACGTTTTTAATTCCTAGATGACCGTACTTTTTCCCATACCAAAAGTCACATAGTTTGCTTGTACCTATCTTACCATGTGATCCAGATCAATCGGTATTAGTGACCTGCCCTCTTCTTTATTTGTGACTCCCCCCAATCTTTATGTCTCCTGTAAATTTTGTTAATCATAATATTCACTTCATTTCCTTATTCTTCCTTCAAGCAATAAGAGATGGTAGGTTTCCATGGTACTGAAAGTCTTTCATTTCATCTTTCTAAGAAAGTTTTTTGTCAATCTGGTTTAAACAAAGTGACTTCATATTTATTTACATTTGTAATATGTTCAAATAAACACCACCATATTTTTTAACATTTTAATATACTGTGGAAATCTATTCAGTGCTACTTTGGTGACTACTATTTACATGCTTTTATCAACCAAGAAACAAACAAAACATTCCTTTTTTTAACAAAGGAAAATTAAAATGTTGAAATTCACTTTTTATATTCTTCATGATTAAATCCTTTAATAATGTATCAGTTAATAAAGCATCTTGCTTTTGTCTGAATGTATGTCAACAAAGGATAAATGGTTTTTGCAATCTGTTTGAAAGGTGCTTGCTTCTATTTAAAAGTATAGCTGAATTAGTAAACCAATAAAAATAATAGGGTTTGAAGGGATTGCAAGAAGTCATTGAGTTGATCCCCAAACTGAGACAAACTATAGTATGTACAGCCATTCCTTTCACATATTTATTTACTTGAATTCCTCCAATGATGAGACTCCCAACCTCCACTAGCAACCTATTCCAGTACTTAACTATGCTTATACCTGGAAAGGGTTTTCTTAGCAGCTAACCTAAATCTACATGGCAGCAGGTGAAGCCAAATATGTCTTATATTATCTTTGGTAGCCAAATATGTCTTATATTATCTTTGGTGGACAAAGAAAATAAAAGATTGCTGTCCTCTTTATAACAATTTCTTCACATATATGAGAACAGTGATCATGTCCACCTTCAACTTTTTTTTTCCAGAACAAAGATGCATGATTATTTCTACCTTTCCTCACAGATACTTTTTTCCAAATTTCTTATATTTTTGTTAATGTCCTCTGAAGTTTCTCTATTAAGTTTTGTGGACCAGAAGGGAGCTAGTGCCCTTGTGAAATATGGACATAAAGGATTGGGGAATAAGGAATTAGATAAGGGATAAGTATTGTGAGAGTGATTAGGAGATATTCCAGGGAAAGGATGAGAAGATTTTGTTGGGGAGGTGTACTACCTACTAATCTTAAATAAAAAGGGGGAGTTTCCTCAATTGGTATGTGATTTTTTTGTACATTTTAGGTTCCATTTCCTGAAATCCAGAATTATAGAAAGGGTGAATCCTCTGAAGATCAAAGTTCAGAAAACAAAACCAAAAGACATGTGAATTTAAAACCATGAATATCTCATTATTTTCAAGCAACTTATGGTTTATTTTTCCTTTCATGGTGTAATGATTTTTGAATTCCTGAGACTGCAATGTTTATATATTAAGGCTCCTTAAAAATGTTTAGGCTTGTGTTAAAAGTAATTATGTGTATATATTAACTTTGTGTGAAGTAGTTTATTTTTGAATATTCTTCATTAATAAGATCTATATTCAGGATTTGAATATAGTGACTGAATTTGACACTAAATTGTGCTTTCTGAAAAGTTCTGAAAAGGCAGAATTCTGGTCTGTGTTTCAACAAGGTGTTAAGCAGGAAGGTCAACAGTAATTGCACATAACTTGCTTGATATTCATTTTATACTAGACCCCAGAAATCAAACATCTGCAGTTGAAATTTTACCAAAGTTGATATTAGAAACGAAGTGGGCTGATTCTTTTGTCTTTTTTTAAACTGGAAATAGGATCTGTGACCTTCAAAAGCCATTCAAATGCTAGTATCAAACCCTGAGTGGCTACTTTAAATTCAGCCAAACAAAATATGATATTTTATTTATTCTTTTTTGTATGTACTATACTGAGTGGTGAAATTTTTAGGTTTTAAGTTGTTGTATTGATTATGTTTTACAATAAAACAAGTGAGCTGTCATTACCCTTTCTTTAAATGATCTCTGAACTTTTTATTTGATAAGGCATACATTATTGTGTCTCTAAATTGTTTTTCAAGTAAGTGTAGAAAATATTTCTGCTTGAGCAAACCGTAAAGTACTATAATTGTGCTAAGGGGGAAAAAAACACCTTGCAAGAAAAGTAGCAGAGAAAGCAAAATTTGATTTATTTATAAGCAGATATGCGTTCTGGTCCGAGGCTGCCCTACTTTTAGCCATATAGAATTGTAAATTTAGATTATCTCGTTATAAACACTGAGGAATCAAGAATCACATTTTCAAAAGCATGCATGTGTTTTTGTTTGTCCTAACCTGACTTTCATGTAAACTTTTTGGTGTATGTGTATGAACCAATAACTATAGACATATTAAAACCAGTGATTGCATATGCATAAATCAGAGGAGAAATGAACAAAAAAATTCAGTTGGAAATTGTCCACTCTCCCCACCTCATATTGTTTTTTACATTATATACATTTTGAATTAAAATAATAGGTGATTGTCTGTATTAATCAGTTAATCAGCCATGTGAAATCTAATCAAGAAACAGAATCTTCATTGTCAGACCTGCATTCTTTTGGTCTTCTCCCATTGGTCTAGACTCTCTTTCGAAAAAGCGGCTCACTTTTCTGAAAAATCTGCTTGTATTCTAGACGCTCTTTTTCGAAAGAAGCTTGTAGTCTAGACGTATCCCCAGCGTTAATGCTACATGTTTTGATTCATTGCAGCCATATCATTAGGAAACAACTAAAGAAATCTTGATCCCATTAAAGTCAATGGCAAAACTGCCATTGACTTCATTGGAGACAGGATTTCACAAAACATATTTTTCTTTCTTGCCACCTAACTCCTCTTCCAGTACAGAATTTGGTTGAGGCAGTTTGTGTCATTTAATATAACAAAGCTTACATTTTTACTTACAACTTCAGAAGTTCTCTTCTAGGCAGTCTTTTGGGAGAAAAGAAGGATGAATATCTTAGTTTTAAATCTGCCTCCCAAGGTGAAACTGTCTGGTAATAGATGAAGAGGAATGCCCTTCATCTGTACTGGTGTTGGCAAAGAAAACAGTGATCAGATCATAAAAAACAACTTTTTACATTTGATTTTCTATCTATCTGGATTCACAGATTTCAACTATGCTCAATATCATGGAGACTCTTATCTGGAATTTCAAGGCTTGCAGTTGAAACCTCAAAACAATATCCATTTAGAATTTCAGACCTATAGCTGCCAAGGTCTCCTTCTGTTCATTGCACAGAGCCCAGAAACAATGGGACATTTCTTTATTCAACTCTTCATCAAACATGGCACATTACAGGTAAGGTACCTTTTTTTTCTTCTAGAAAGACTAAAACAAATTGGATTTTTATAATAATCAATGGTTTATTCAGCCTAGGGCTATAGAAAACAATATATACTCTTGAGCATCTCAGTGATTGCCCAGAATTTTTAAGTGAAACAACTGCTTAAATTGTCACTTTCAAAATTATTTCCCCAGAAATTGTCATGACAGATGAGACTAGTATTAATGGTGATATAAAAGGTAAACTATATGGAAATCATATTGGTGCCCTTCCAATGCACACATTTAGGCTATGTCTAGACTGCAAGCCTCTTTCGAAAGAGGCTCTTTCGACTGCAAGTGGAACTTTCGAAAGAGCAAGCTGCTTTTTTGAAAGAAAGCTCCCAGGCTGTGTCCAGACTCAGGGGTTTTTTCGAAAAAAGTAGCCTTTTTTCGAAAAAAACCTCACCTGCGTCCAGACTCAAGCCGCATTCTTTCGAAATTAAATCGAAAGAACGCGGCTTTTCTTTCGATAGCGGTAAACCTCATTTCACGAGGAAGAATGCCTTCTTTCGAAAGTTCCTCTTTTGAAAGAAGGCGTTCTTCAATGTAAATAGGGCTTCTTCGAAAGAGAGCATCCAGACTCACTGGATGCTTTCTTTCG